TTTTAATCATAAATGCATTCTCTCTCCAACAAGAAAAAGACAGAAAGAAAATGGAAAGTTTAATGTGGAAATGTGGCAGTTTTGTCTAATAGGCTACAGGTTATTTCCTGTATGCTGGAGTTTTCTCTTCATATGCTGTGCAGTGGGCAAATCCAGAGTAAAAAAAGTACATAAAATGTGCACTTACTGGTGCATATCTAGATTACATTTGGAAATAATTACTGTGATATAGGTACAATGCCATAGTGTGGAAAACTGTGAACAGGTGGCTTCTACAGGTGATCCTGGGTCCTTTTTCAAGGAGAAAGGCAGGATAGAAATATTTTAAACAAAATAAATAATAATAAATAAACTTCCTAGAGTTCCCTTCTTGGGACTTTTTCTCTTAAAACTGGACTTGAGTTGGTCAGTCCTTCAGGTAGAGGAGTGGTTCTCACCCTACTGGTCCTACAGATGTTAACTTCCAACAGAAATCCCAACAACTGGCCATGCTGACTGGAGCTTTGAGGAATGGAAATCAAAAGCATAGGAAGGCGAAATCTCTAGCTAATGACGAAAAGGATGGTAGTCATGACCATTCACATGTGGCAGAACATGTTAAGGTATTAATTATTTAAAATTATTCTAGCATACCCTGCTTGGTCGGCCAGAAGCTCACAGTATATACTGAAAACAATCAAAAGTTTCATTATAATGCAATTAAAGTTGCAAGCATGCAATAATATAGTCGTATTGGTGAGGGAAGAAAAGCCCAAGGTTCTCTAAAAAGGAAAGTTGTTAGAATCTTTGCAAAAGTCAATAGAGAGTCAGCCAGGCCAGATTTCCATGGAGAGGGGCGTGAAAACACCTTCACATCTAAAAATGAGGAGTTACCATCTTCCTTATAACAAGATTTTGCGATTCTGCCTGTGTTGTTAAGCTTGTTCCTGGCAGGAATGTGATAGACTTGGAGCATTCAGCAGCTGCCCTGGCGTTTCATCCCTTGAGAGTTTAGGTTTTCCGAACATGGCCTTTGACAGCAGCTGCCTCTCAGCATTTGCTGACCCTCCAATTACAAAGGCTGTTCATATAGCTATGCCGTTGCCAATGTATTATGTTCCATAAGAACTGACTTTGCTAGAAAAAGCCAGCAAGTGAAATGGGCTGTATATGTAATAGTCAGCACCTTGAAATCGATGCGGAAGCGAATAAGTAACCAGTGTAAGGTGGCTAGGATGGGGGAAATAGGATCATTTGAAGCTTCCGCATCATTCGTAGTTATACATATTAGTTATATTACCAGAAATAGTTATGAAACCTATAAATGACAGCATTTTACAACATTGTTTTACAGTACATTTCTCAGCATCTATAAGACTAAATAGTGAACACCGCACTCCAAAAATCCAAAGCAGATGTGAGTTGTGTGGTTCTTAATAAAATAAATAATGATGTAGATGAATTATTTAACAAAGCTTGGGGGAAAAAATCCTGAAATATGGGCTTCAGTTTTAGATTATATAATAGGATTTCCTACACAAACTTTACACCCTATAATCATTTTGCCTTTGGGCAAATCCGCAGTGCTGGTGTGGGCAAAGAGTGGAAACTACATGGAGTATTTTCCTGGACAGTTCAGGAAAGGGCTAGATTTGCTTGTGCTGGGATGAATCAGAGGCTCTCGACAGTCCTTGTAACCTTAGCTGCCTGTGTTTCTGCAGAGAGCACTTTTTAGCATCGCATGAGCTGGCTACAATCACGGAAAATGACCAAAATGAGTCAGGAGTCAGACCAGGTTGGGACTTCCAGTGGGCAACCCAGACTTTTTTTCTTTCCATTACATTCTTTCCAAGTACCGTCCTTCCCCCCCCCCCTCCGGCCAACTTCTCATTAATAGTTAGATGGTAGGGACTCTTGGTTTCTTTTCAGAGGCACCCCGTTGCTATCAACATTCATTAGTTTAACTCGTCTTTCTTCCCTAGAATTATTCTTTTATGGGAACAGTATGATTTTGAATGAAAAAAAAAATATATCCAACCACAAGGATTAGAGATACTGGGCTTCAAATGTCAATTCCAGATTTCCATTGGAATGGCCAGAGAGCCTGACTCCAAAACAATGTGGGAGTCTGGGTGGGATTTTCCTACACTGGGATGCCTGCAAACCTTTGAAAACATGTCTAGTCCATGTGACAGAAAAAGAAAACGCAACCAAAAAACAAAAACAAAAACTGAGTTCTTACTGCTTTCCAAGCATGTAGCTCCTGTTTCCTCAGATTATACCCTAGAGCAGCCTTCTCCAATGTGGCTGAATGATGATGATGATGATGATGATGATGATGATGATCCAGTACATCTGAGGGCACTAGGTGGAGGAAAGCAGCTGTAGAAGCCACGCCTGCAATTTAAGAAGTTTGTGGGGCGTTGCAATGTTATGAGTTAGAATCAAGAACTGCAGAACCGGAAAGGAATTGAATTCCCAACTTCTGGCTTCTCAGCCAGAGACCTAAACCATTGAGCCATCCAGTGGTTCTATGGAAATGGGATTCCTCCGCCCCTCCCATTTATTCCTTCTTCTTCTTTTTTCCTAAATAGAAAACCCCTTTCTTCAATATCATATCAAGAACTGCTGTCAAATAAAATCAAAGTGCTGTCAATCAGTAACACTGTAACTCCATACACTCTTTGCCCCCCCCCAAAAAGCCAGGAATTTGCATAAAATGAAGTCACACCCAGGGATATTCATTATGAAAGAGTGAATAGTATCATAACAACTGGAAACACAAGACAAAACACTCAGAAAAAGCCACGGTAGTAAATAGAAAGCACAGATGTAGCTCAAAGTGCTGTTTATCTATAATGCAACCAACCTCACTGCACTTACTCCCTATACTTTTATTAAATGTGCCCTACGTCTGAATCATATGTGTGCGGTTGCGGCTGGGATGACAACACTGAAATGCTCTAAATATCCTCTTGCTTGAGTGTTTTCCTTCTCTGTTTCCCTGCCCCATGCTAATCTGTCATATGTGAGAGTAAAACTTGACCTATCCACCCATTCACTTTTCTGAACTAAAAAAAGGTTGTTGGTTGTTGTATGTTTTTTTTTGGGCTGTCTGGCCGTGTTCTGGAGGTTTTTCTTCCTAACATTTCGCCAGTCTCCGTGGCCAGCATCTTCAGAGGACAGGAGTTAGAACTCTGTCTTTAAAAAAAAAAAGGTCCCTCGGGTGCACAGGCACTTTGACAGATGATGCCATCACTCCCACTCTGAAATAATTTTACGGCGCCACTCCTTCTCTACGCCTCTGCCAGGGATGTCTCTTGACTTCTCACTGAACTTCCAAAGATGACATGAACACAGAAGAGCTGATTTCCTCTTGTCACCTTGTGTGACTTCTGAGGGTGGGGACCGTTGGGTGTGGGCAGCAGAATGAGTGGGTTGGTGTCTGAAAAAGAAGAAGAAGGCAGCCCTCAGACTGCTGTTTATCCTCCATCCAGAGTCAGACAGCTTTCCCACTGACTTACATGGTGACCTGTATTCAGTCAGTGATCCTTCGCCATCTGCTCCACAGAATTTGGTCCTCCTGGCCATTTGATACAACGCTACTACCAGTGGATTTTTGCACCATTGCAGACTCAGGATAACTCAAATGAAGCTGCTTCGGTTGCAACTAAGAGCAACAAGAGCAGAATTTTCTTATACTTACAACACTCTTCTGGTGGTGACGCTATCAAAGTACCAATAATCCTGACCTCTGAGCCGTTCCCAACTGTTTCGTTATGTTTACCAAAACCTCTAGTGTGAGTTGAACATCCACCCACACTTCCCACCTATTTTTCTGGTTCACTACATAATTAGTATGTTGCCATGCCATGTGCATAACCATGGTACAGTCTTTGTAAAAGAAAACTTTTGAAAACCACATTCATGTGACAAATAATCTCTTTATTTCTTCTGCTGAGCAATCTGCATTTGCCCAGAATTGTCCAAACAAGATTAAATCTTGACTTTTATTTCTATATTTAGCTTCCAGGTAGGTCCCTTGTGAATAAACATAACCACAAGTCAGTCCTCTGCTACAGTATATCATATGTTTTTCCTTGGAAACTTTCACTAGTAGACCCTATGAGACACAGGTAGTCTTGTCGCTTCCAGCAATCTGTATGTATTGGTTCTGACTTTTGTTACGCCTTACAATAAACCCAATATTATGTTTGTCAATCATTTCTGAGCAAGAGTGCACAAATGACTAATGCATTCCCTAGCAATGTGCGGCTTCTACTGAGTCATGAACTTAATAAATGTCTTGACTAGTACAGGAAAGCGAAAAATGAAACCTCAGCATGATTGTTAAGCACTAAATGAGATCTGCAAACAATCACTATGCCCTGAATTACTTGGTGGTTTTTATGAGATGATGCCAAGAATCAGATTGTGATGATAAACATAAAGAACAATCTGGTTGCGAAAAGAGAAGCCAAATTCATTTGGAATTTGTTTTAAGGGTGGTAATAGGACACAGGGGAAAGTGTACAACAGCCTCCCCCAATTCACTTCTAAAATGAGGTGGTTTGAAATTGAATTAAAGGGAGAAGATGTGTTACAAAGGGAGCACCTGGGGGAACCCATTATTTGTTTTGCTTCAGTTTCCTCCGGGCCACCGAAGACATAACATGGCTGATCTTTTGACCAGGGTGAGCATTTAATGTCAGCAGGGCCTGCAGTCCCCACTCCCTTTTCCTCTTCAGTCTCAACGCTTGGCTCTAAAGTGTGCATAAGAAAATAAACTGGTCCAAAAAAAGGCACTTCCTGATTATGGCCAGTTTTCTGTATCCAGAGGAGAGGAAAGTACGTTCAGTGTCAGTGAGCACAATGAGAATCCTGGAGACATTCTTGATTTTTTTAAACTTCTCATTTTGCTTTGGAGTGAACTGATTTGTGTGGATTGTGGCTAGTTCTTGTGGTGAAGTTTGCCTGTGTTTTTATGAAGCTCCTGATTTTGTCTCTCCCTTTAATTTCAGGGATTTACCTGCTGGATCTAATCTACATTGATTCAGCATATCCTGCTTCAGGCAGCATTATGGAGAACGAACAAAGATCCAATCAGATGAACAATATCCTCCGAATCATTGCTGATTTGCAAGTCTCCTGTAGCTACGGTGGGCAATTTTCCCTTTCACCAGCATCACATTAATATAGTAAATCAGTAGCAGATGTCTCGCGCGCGCGAAGGGTGGCCTTCAGGGATAATGTAGATCAGGAAGGTCTGTGGTACTAAACCACTTACCCTCTGCTTTTTGCATAATTTCTACTTTAATGCCAAATTAAGCAATTACGCTATTATGAGTTTCTTCTACTGGCCCAATTTAGGCTTGTACATACCTAAATACATGTTGTCTGTGGGTAGATTCCTTCCACATGTGCTCATTAAGTAGTGAGATTCCATTTCAGATGTTCACTTTGTGTTGCATTCTGTTTTTCAGAAATGTGATTCCTTTTGTGCCATGTTATCTGCTCCACCAGATCAATCTTTATACTTAAAAGAGTTATAAAAAAGAATTAGAATAACTGGTGGAGGTGGTGCTATATAATAATAAAAAAATAAACTGGAGTTGTAAGCCTATCCTGAGGATGTCCAACCGTCTCAGAGGTCTTCTGCTGACGGTGTTCCTGTTGGCCGCAGTTATTTGCCTTTAAATGTGATCAAAAGAAATTGCATTTAAAAAACAATGACTTGTCCATACCCAGTATGGTCAAAGAGAGAACACCTAGGCTTTGACTGTTGGCATGTGTTATGAAATCAGAATCTTAGTCTTTTTTTCGGTGAGGAATCTTTAATTTCCTTTTGGAATAGATAGTGGGAGGGAGGAAATATGGAAGCTTGTGGCTGGAACAAAGGAAGAACTGCTTTTTCTTCCTTGACAGTTTGGGATTTATATCTCCTGTTGCTGTTTTTTTTAAAATACAGATCACCTTATAACGTTACCCCATGTGCAAAAATACTTAAAGTCTGTCCGATACATTGAAGAGCTCCAGAAGTTTGTGGAAGATGACAACTACAAGTAAGTGCAGTCTCTCCTTTTGTCCTAGCTGATTTCATGGAAAATGCAGTCTTGCTGTAGATTTGAATAAAAGTTGTGTGGGTTTTTTTAAAAAGTACTCTTGGCAGGAATAGTAAGTAAATCCAAAAATATACATATAAGCAGTGATGATATTGTCAGGGGTCTGAGTGAAACCCCAGATGGATCTTGCCTGTAAGACCTAACCTCATTTCTTTAAAAAGAGGCTCTTTTATAAAGAATTAAAAACCAGATAAGCCTGCTTGGCTGTTTTATGGCATGGCAGCTTGATGCAATTAAATAGAGAAATACCTTTTCTATGAGGTACACAAACTAGATTCAGAAGACCATTTACCCCCACCCCCCCACCACCTACTATGTTTTGTTTCAAGACTTATGTCTCATTACTGATTTAAGAAACTATTGGGTTTTAAATGGTTCATCGTCTGGTGCCTGATGTGAGCTAGTATTCAACTGAGCAAAAAAATTTTTGTTAAAGGATTGTCCTCTGATTGTTGCCTTCTAGTTGAACACATATATAGTGGAGTTTTTTTTTCCCAAAAGAAGGGCCATATTCCCTTAGTTCAGAAAGAAGCATGTGCACTTGAGCAGAAGAAGATGAGGAAATCTGTCACCCCAGGGGTACTGCCATGGCCCAAGTAAGGAATTAATGTAGATATGATTATTTAATGTGGAAACCATGGTCATAGGCATTACTCCAGTGTCTGTAGGGCTTCATCAGAGAAATATGGTGGCTGGTTAGCTCAGCGGTTTAGGTCTCTGGCTGTGGGGCCAGAGGTTGGGAGCTTGATTCCCCCCACTGCACCTCCCAAGAGAAGAGCCAGCCTGGATATCCTTGGGCAACCTGCACAGTCCCCGGACAGCCCCAGAGAAAGGGAATGGTAAACCACTTCTGAGTATTCTCTACCAGAAAACCCCTTTTGGCAACTACAGTGTTTCATGTTTTTGTCTGGGGAAGTATAAATGAGATTTAAAAGAAGCACAGCACACATCTCCAGATGACTGCAAATGAGTGGCTAATTCAAGAGAATTCACACCTGGTGCTGAGAAAATGAGATATTTCTAGTTCTTAGGTGTTCTGCAAGTTGAGTCCTTAAAATATCAAGACAACTATACTTAGTCCTTATTTAAATGTCACATTAAGCTAGGAATCATGGCATAATAAATCAAAATGTAAAGTGGAAGCCCACTTGCTTCCAGTTTGCATGAATGGATAAATAAATAAATAAATAGGAAGGGATCGTGGAAGGGATCATTGTTACATTTGAACCCAAGATATTGGGCTCAGTACACTTCAACATCCTGAAGCTGAGGCTCCAAGACTTTGGCCGTCTCATGAGAAGAGAAGACTCCCTGGAAAAGCCCCTGATGTTGGGAAAGTGTGAAGGCAAGAGGAGAAGGGGACGACCGAGGACGAGATGGTTGGACAGGGTCACCGAAGCGACCTGCATGAATTGGACCCAACTCCGGGAGGCAGTGGAAGACAGGAGGGCCTGGCGTGCTCTGATCCATGGGGTCACAAAGAGTCGGACACGACTTAATGACTAAACAACAACAACACTTCAGCAATCCAAGATAGGAAGCCAGCTTTAAGCCTAATTTAAAGGTGGCCTGTGAATTTTAACTTTCACAGACACATATAACTGTAATCTTGAATTTGAAAGTAAAGCAAAACATTCTTCCTGGTTTGTCCACTTACACAAAAGGAAGAGACAATGAGAGACTGGGCTACAGGCATAAGTGTGCCAGCCATTCCCAGTGTGTGTTTTCAAGACAGGGCTCCTTCTTCTACATGATGTCCAAAGGCAAGTGCAATGAGTCTTCGCTAGTGGTCTGAGCCTGACCTCCCAGCTGTTCTGAGCGACAGGCATGTGACCAGGCTGGACCCTCCATCAGGCCCCTTAGTCTTGCCTCCCCTCCTATCCCTCAAGACCGTGGTCATCTTTGTTTCGCTGAAGCACTACATGTAACTTTTTGGAAAAAATAAATGGATATACTTGCTTTTAGAAAGGACAGAGGGGAGAGAGAGAGGGAGAGGTGTGCTCATGTTATCACTGTTCTCAACCCAATGGCGTTCATTCCACAGCCAGCATTCTCCTGTCAAGCTGTGAACTAGTAAAACGTGCAGAGGAAGAGTTGCCGGAGTTTGATCCGGATAACCCAAATGTGTATTAGCCAACTCTGCAACAGAGCTAATAAGCTACTGTGCAATTCTTCAGTCTTACTTCCATTCTTCTTCTAGAATTTGATCCGACATGGCCTCAAATTCGCCAGAGCAAATTTCTGCTGAGGGAAACATCCTCCGCCATCTGCCCCTGTTTCATAGTTTTGGTCAGCAGCTAGAATAAGCAAAATCACGGCTGGTCTTTTTGCTGCTGAAAATCCTCTTTGTTTATCTTAATTGATGTGTTTATTTTTTTGGATCAAATTGAAAGCAGGCCTAGGAACAATGATGTTTTCATACCAGAATCCTGCTTAATGTATCACACTGTCTTCCATATGAAAAAAAAGAAAAAGAAAAAAGAAACCAACTCTTGTCTGCAATTTTTTTTCAGTGCAGCTTATCACTTTAAAAAAATGAGCTTGGGGTTTTTATCACCCTACTCGTGGCAGGATGTGCGTGTATAAATGTGTATATAAGGTCTTACTGCCTTTTTCCCCCATCTGCTCTATAGATTACCTAAACAAAAGAGTATGTGGTTTTGTGCTGTAAAAAGATAGACTGCAAATGCTTAAATGTTGGAATGAGCTTGGATTTGACATTCACATCCATGTCCAAGTGACACATTGTGTTAAGAAAGAGAAGACTTTGGAATCTTTGCTGGGCTGAGGAACTTCCCACAAGACATTATAAAAACAGCAATTAGTTGATACAAGATGACTCTTTCAGAGCAGAAGAATATACTCCATCACTGTCCCATACATGCATGCATGGGTATATGTGCACAGCACCCTCCCACCTCTCTTTTCCTCTCCATATCCCAGACGATCTTAAGATGTATATAGTTCACCCACCTTTATAAACTTTCCCTAGGGAGGTACAGTTTCCCTCCAGTGTGGATCTAACACCTAGTTCATTGTGGGCTTTGTATGGTTTGTTTTTCCTGGTTTTAAAATATTTGTAGTTAAAAATATTAAGTACTGTAACTTTCTTAGTCTTCATTTTAATGGTCCTATTATTCCCGTTAGTAAGGTTCAGCTGACAAGATATTTTTGATGAAATCTGTGTTTTGCTGCTACTGCTCTTATTGAGAACTTATTTTGTTTTCAAAGGTGTTTCTTGGAAACAGGGGAAACCTTCTGTGTAACAACACTTAGAAATGAATAGCTTTCAGTACGTCTCTCTTGTCTGTTTGGTCTGTGTGTGTGTGTGAAAGAGAAGAGTGATCGTTCCTAGGCTGAATGCCAGAGACTTAACCACATTGCCTAATTTAATTCTTGGACAGGGTTTCACATTCATGCAATGATGTTAAGATTATATATACAGTAGTTTTTCATTAGCTTGAATATTCTGTGCGGAACGGAACAAAACAAAGGGTTTCTCTAAATATTTAAAGCCATGACGTAATCCTTGGACGTGCTACAGATGAGTAATTTCATCTTTTTCTGAAAACAGTTTGTAATCTCCACAGAGGCATTGCTAGCAACAGTGAGCTGTATTTACATACATTTTGACAGAGGTCATCCAGTGTTCTTCCTTTCGATCTGAATGTCCATTTCTTGACTAAATGCTCTCATTTGTCCAGCAACTATATTAAACCTCAAGCAGCCAGTAAGAAGGTAACAGGAATCCAAAAGGATGAACAAAAGGGGAAGGGAAACAGAGCAGAGTTTTAACAGCAACATGAGACTGAACTTTTGAGGTATTTCATTGGAAGAAAAATTCAGCCCCCTACACAGTGATGTGTGGCGGCTGAGCAAGGTGATCAGGGAATGGCATCCAGACTGTGTCCTGCGTTGGGTTTCTTTCCTGTCTCTGCCCTGAGTCCGAAGGTATGGGTTGTTGTTTTTTTTTTCGGCATTCGACAAAAACTCTTCCTTCCCCCTGAATAACTCGGTCTGCAGACTGTTTGGTTTTCTCCTCATTGCTGGTGCTGTGCCAGAAAGATGCATTAGCCCTGTAGAGGTAGCAAGCAGACACAGGCCTTATAGGGGGAAAAAAGCCTCCCGTCGCTCTTCTAATTGAAACATAAGCATTAGGTAGATTCAAGAGGAGCTCCTTCTTATCCTTGGCAGAATGTTAAGACTCCGCTCTGTAGAACAGAAATCCATGGCAGGAAATTACACTGGAAACCTCCTCCAGCTTTTGTCTCTTTGAACTCAAAAGTTATATTTATTGATTAGTAAAAATAGTATTGATTAATGAAGTGTATACCCACTTGCATACAGATATGTGTGTGCGCGCACACACACACACAGTCCAACCTTTGAAAATGGTTTCAGCTACAGACAAAAAAGGTTCTGAAGCGTGAGACAGGAGCCATGAGGCTTGCAGTCCCATCCTTCTGGATGGTTGGCAACCATTCATATTATCCAGAGGCCCATTTTGCTGCCGGCAGGCCTTATGTAATATGGGAAGAGGGCAAGACTTGGCAGGCTGCACATTTGTGCAGACGGAGCCTCGTCTTCACCAAGTCATGTATAATTTTGCAGGGCAGCTTTAAGTACATTTCGGAAAGGCTGCTGGAGCCTGTGGTTTGCCCTTGTTTTCAGGGTGTGCTTTCTTACTGGTTTTCTCTCCTAATACACAGCACCCTACTCAGATTCTAAATGTAGCTCATCCGCCCTGCCCGGAAAGCTTCTGTTTCTGTGTTTCCACCTTAACTGTCCCCTGAACAGCTGCAAAACGAATTATCCGCTACTGCCTATGTAAGCAATACAAGTCCTGAAATCGTGCTGACCTTGGAACATTCATTTCTTTCCATTTCTTCAGTTTTTCAAGTTCCAGACTGGATTCCTCTTTTCCCCAGGTTTCAAATACA